AAACTCTAGCTACAGGTTGGGTATGTGGCTCCATTGGTAGAGCGCTTGCCTTGCACGCACAAAGCCCTGGGTTGATCCCAAGTACTACATATACTGAGCATGGTGGTGTATACCTGTAGCCCCAGCAATGAGGAGGTGGAGTCAGGAAAACTGGAGTTCTAGGTCATCATTGGGCACACAGTGAGTTTAAGAGCAAAGGCCTAACCTGGAGAGAGGACAAGAGGCTGGAGCTTTGCAGAATCCAACAATGAATCCCTGGACCAGAAATGACTCGAGCAGGGGTAGGAAGAGGCAGACTTAGTGGTGCATCTTAAAAAGGCTACTAATGAGACACGGCCACTGCCTTATTGATTGCACCACGATGTCTCCTTGTTTTTAACTAACCGTGATCTAGCTCACAGACCAGAATCGAGATCGGGAATGGCAAACAAGATTCTTTCGATCCTGGTTTAAGTAAAAATGGCTTGTAGCAAAGGCAATATGATCTTTAAAAAATAAATAAATAAATAAATAAATAATAATAATAATAAAGACTCCAGGTCTATAAATACTGTTGATGCTTTCCCTTACTAAAGATGTTTGGACTTAATTAACAATGTCCAATTTTCACAAAGATGGGGGATGCCTCCTCAAAATCTGTTGAAGCTTGGTTTTAGTTACACAGCTACTTAGATGACTATGGAAGAGTCCAGTGTCTCAGAAGCAAGACTTATGTGTTTCAATTTGTGTTTATTAGCCAGGAACAGACAATGGTTAAAGATTAAAAAAAAAATGTCTGCATTTTCCTTGCTTATACCAATTCAATTAGAATCACAGGTACAGGCCACTTCCACCCCCACCCCAGAAACACACACATGCACTGAAAGGTGCTGCCCTTTACTGAAACACAGTTTAGTGTGATGTGTGTCAAGAATTAAAGAATATTTAACGCTTCTCAAAAAGGAAAATGACAGGGGAGAGGGGAGCCTGGGAGGACACTTTTGAGAGGGTTTTCCTGCAGGTGGGAAAGGAGAGTGGTGTAGCAATGAGCATCCCAGGGGCTCCCAGAACCCCATCTTCCAGCAGGCTCCTGAAGACAGGAGGTAACATTCCATTTTTCTGGGTCATTTAAGTCTGAAATGGAAAACCCATTATCTGCCATGGCAACGCTCAAACTTATGGCTCCTAGAAGCTCCTTCCCCTTTAAAATTCACTGAGAAACGTAAGATTTCAGTTTGTGTCAGTTTTCACTTGCCTACATTAAATGTCAAGATGTGCGGTTTGTTTGTTTTGACACAGAGTCCAGGCTGGCTTGGTTTTTAAATTTAATCTTTAAAATTTAAAAATATCTTTAAATAAAAAATTCTGAAAGTACCTTTTAATAAAAAGTTATGATTTTTGCAGGGGCTAGAGAGATGCCTCAGTGGTTAAAAGTGCATACTACTCCTACAGAGGATCCAAGATTGGTTCCCAGGACCTGTCTGGTGGCTCACAACTGCTGTGACTCTAGTCCAAGATCCCACACTTGTGGCTGTCACAAGCACCTTGGGCTCAGCAGCAAGCTATCCTGCCACCCGACATCGCTCTTCTGGTTCTGTGCACAGCGGTCTGCAAAGCGACCAGAGGAAATGCAGTGAAGAGGAAGGCAGGCGCAGCCAGTCTGCTGGATTCTCCAAGTTCACCTGGTGGCCGCTGAGCAGCACTGGGACAGGACACTGGTGCTCCTACTGTGAGACTGGCTAGCTCCTCTTGGAACCAGTAAGTGTCTGAGCCTTAGTGCCAGTTCAACAGGCTGATTCCTCAGACCCTGCTCTTCCAACTTCTAAGTTCCTTTTAGAGCTTAGGTAGAAAAGGCAAGGAGCCCAAGGCCACAGCAAAGGCAAAAGCTGCCATACCTGACATTGTCATTCAGGACTGTATGAAGTCTCCTTCTGTCTAGTCCTTGGCTGACTTTGGTCACCACTCAGATGAAAGGCATAGCATGAACTCCATGGCACTACCCAGGCGTCCCTCTCCCATTGCTGCATATTAATGAGCTGAGCAATAAAGCTTGGAGTCAGGGTTTCACTTCTATGGCAGGCAGTGAGTAGTCGTAGGGGAGGTAAGGGCCCTGGTGGAAATTTTAAGAAGTCAAGGAAGAGCTCCCTAAAGGGGCCATTTTACATATTTAGTTATAAGGAGGTGGGAACCATTCTGAGTCAAAGTGACTGACTACAAACCAAGGCAGAGGTGAAACAGAGAGTAAGATTCTGGGGACCACCATGAGCAGTTTATGGGGGGGGGCTGCACATTCTCTCCATCTCCCTCACTGCCCACAACACCCATGGGTTCCAACACCATGGAGGAGGTAACCTAGATGGTACACAACTGCAACAGGTCAAGCAAGGTCTTCCCTGTCTCAGGCAGGGAGCCCCACTGTTGGGAAGCAAGATTAGATGACCTAAATGCATCCACCTTCATCTTTTATTGAAATAGGAACGGGGCAGAAGGTTCTGCTCATGCCTGTCATCACAGCACTCAGGAGGCCAAGACAGGATTGCTGTGAACGTGAAGTGAGCCTGGGCTACAGAGTAAGATGGTCTCAAAAAAAGAGAGAGAGAGATAATAAATATGAATGTACTGGCCAAAGGGGCAGAATGACAACTGAATGCCTAAGAATGGCACCCAGGGGAGCTCAAAATTCTATTAAAAAGAGTGGTGGACCATTACCACACCATCCAAGGAATTCAAAACACAAAGGAAGAAGCTGGATTCAACCTTGTGGTATTAGATAGAACGGCACCAAACTCTACTATTGATGTGTATAAACATACTTCACACACATGCAGTTATTGTGTGAACACAAGGATGTCTCAGAAGCAGAAGGCTGCGGTAACCATACATAGAGCAAATTTTTGTCTCTAAGGAGACTCTCCAGCAAAGGGAATAAGCTCCTGGGGAAAGGGCTGAGTTCAGGGCTCTGATGCATCAAGTGCATGCAAATGCCTGGGATTTACAGCTGTGGCAGAAAGTGAGGAACTAGTCAGAGTGGCTTCAATCCTATCACTTGGGAGGCAGAGATCCGTCTGGATCTTTGTGAGTTCAAGGCCACACTGGGCTACAAGAGAGGAACCAGAACCAGGCAATGGTGACTCATGGCTTTAATTCCAGGAAGTAATATGGCAGGACACAGAAAAGTAAATAAGGCATGAAGAAACAGAAATTCACTCTTGAGGCTGAGGATTTCGTAGAGGTAAGCTAATGGCTGGTTGTTCTGCTTCTCTCATCTTGCAGCTTTCACCCCAATATCTGGCTCTGGGTTTTTTATTATAAGACCTTTTAAGATTCATGTTACACATACACACACACACACACACACACACACACACACACACACACACACATACACACATACACACGGGCGCACGCATATACATATATGTATGTATATATATGGTACCTCATTAAACAATGGTGTAAAATTATAAAAGTCACTTTGAATTGCAGCAGTTAAGAATGAGTAGGAGTCTCACATCACCAGGGAGGCTACCTGAAAAACAGGACCCCAAGAAAGACACGAGGATCGCCCAATGACGGAGAAATGGCTGAGATCTACATGAACAACCTGGACATGAGTGGGAGTAATGAAGGGCAAGGGTCGAGGGAAAGAGAGCCTGTGGGAGCGGGAGATCCCAGTTGGATCAAGAACAGAAAGGGAGAACAAGGAATAGCAGCCATGGTAAATGAAGACCACATGAGAAAAGGAAGAAGCAAAGTGCTAGAGAGGCCCACAGAAATCCACAAAGATACCCCCACAATAGACTGCTGGCAATGGTCGAGAGACAGCCGGGACTGACCTACTCTGGTGATGGGATGGCCAAACACCCTAATAGTCGTGCTAGAAACCCCATTCAATGACTGAGGAGTCTGGATGCAGAGATCCACGGCTAGGCCCCGGGTGGAGCTCCGGGAGTCTAATTAGCGAGAAAGAGGATGGTTTATATGAGGAAGAATTGTTGAAACTAAGGTTGGATAAAGCACAGGGACAAATAGCCAAACGAATGGAAACATATGAACTATGAACCAAAGGCTGAGGGGCCCCCAACTGGATCAGGCCCTCTGAATAGGTGAGAGTTGATTGGCTTGATCTGTTTGGGAGGCATCTAGGCAGTGGTACCTTGTCCTGTGCTCACTGAATGAGTTGGCTGTTTGAAACCTGGGGCTTATGTAAGGACACTTGGCTCAGCCTGGGAGGAGGGGACTGGACCTGCCTGGACTGAGTCTACCAGGTTGATCTCAGTCCTCGGGGGAGGCTTTGCCCTGGAGGAGGTGGGGATGGGAGGAAGGGGTGGCGGGAAGGAAGGGGGAGAACAAGGGAATCCGTGGCTGATATGTAGAACTGAATGGTATTGTAAAAGAAAAGGAAAAAAAAAAAAGAAAAAGAAAAAAAATCGATGTTATCAGCTTAAATGCCACATTCTGCAGATCTCTGAAGTGCTTTAAGATGACCTATCTAAAATATATTTCTGCTTGACCTTGAGCACAAAGCTAATATGGCTACAGGTTTCATTGTAATGACCAACTACTAACCTGCAATTGTTATCCTAAATAGTTGGCAATAACTTTCAAGGACTGAAAATTGCATTGCATTGTGAAATGAACTGTATAGGAATGATACATGTAATGTAAGACTAGAAATATATGTACAGTATTTTCTAACAAAAAAAAATGAGTAGGAGTCATTGTGCATGGTGGCACACACCATTAGTCCAAGCATTGGGGAAACAAAAGCAGGTGGATCTCTGTGAGTTTGAGGCCAGACTGATTTCTATAGGACAGCCAGAACTACATAGTAAGATTTGTCTCAAAAAATAAGTGAAATTTTAATGACTAATTAAGTAAATTGTAATTTCCTTAGTTTAAGTAAATTTTAATTTCCTTAGAGCTGGAGTCAGTATATTAGCCAAAATGATCAAACAAATCTAATTGACTAAAAGGAAATCTAGAAAGAAACCCCCTGAAGCTGTTCACATGACCTCTTCCAAGGATGATGCTCAGAAGCATTCAATATGGTCCATCATTTGACATACCATCATAGGCTTTCCTACAACACAGCCTCCAACAAAACTAGGCTGTCTGGAACCCCTGGCAACAGAAAGGTTGGAAAAGCACCTAAATCTGCATGCGGTGTGTGCCCAGGCAGACTTCGAGAGGTTCCAGCTGTGAGACTAAATACCTTAATGAGATTGTCTGGGATGAAGCATGTCAGCAGGGACTACAGTGGTTTCTTGTGTGCCAAGTGTGTCTGTGACAGGATCAAGCCAGCTTTCCTTACTGAGGAGAGAATTGTTGTCAATGTGTTGAAGGCACAACAGAGACAGAAAGTGAAATAAATATGCATCTTTTTAAAGTAATAAAAGTCAAGGCTTAGTATGTAAAAAAACAAAAAATGAAATGCTGAAAAGCTACCCCAGGCTCACAAAATAACTGAATACAGTACTCCACATCTAAGTTAGTCTAAGGCACTACTTCACTAGTCAACATTTTCCCGTTTTGAGGTGATACATCAAGTGCAGCTATGTGTACACAGCTTCTGTAACTGTACAGCTGAACACCTTAAATGCAGTTTTCAGAGTAAGGTGGTCGGAGCAGACACCTTTAATCCCAGCACTCAGGAGGCAGAAGCAGGGGGCTCTCTGTGAGTTTGAGGCCAGTCCTGGTCTACAGAGTGAATTCCAGGACATCCAAAACTACACAAACCCTGTCTCCAAACAACAAAAAAGGGAGGAAAAAAGTCTTTAAATAATTTTGGAGTTTGAAACTGGAGTGAAAGCTGTTAACAACGAAATCGAGCATCTGGCTCAGACATTGTTTTACAGTAGCGATTCAGTTCTAAGGACCCATGTAACTATGGAGGGCTACCAACAGAAAGCAGTCTGCAGTGGCTAGTTACAATATCAACATAGGTATGACCCAGCTAGGGGATACTCGGAGTTAGCAAAGTGCTGCCTGGATGTGTCTAAAGGCCTAAGACAGTGTTCTCAACCTTTCTAATGATGAAACCCTTTAATATAGTTCCTCATGTGGTGGTGTCCTCTAGCCATAAAATTATTTTTGTTGCTACTCCATAACTGGAATTCTGGTAGTTATAAATCATATCTGAGATGCAAGACTTTTGATATGTGACCCCCATAAAAGGGTCGATTAACACCCACAGGTTGAGTGCCACTGGTCTAGGCAATCAGAATTTGAAATCTGTGGATTTAGGAATAAAGCTCTCACTATATCATCCAATATGTTTTTGTTTTTTCTTTAATTTCAGGAGGTGCTTAGATCGCCCAGGCTGGCCTTGGATTTACTGTGCACTCAAGGCTGGTCTTGAACCCTTGATCCTTCTGCCAACACATCCTAAGTGCTAGCATTACAAGGTGTGCAACACAACCTCTCCCTGAGGCTGACCTTCCTGACTGGAAGACGGGCAGGTATCGATACAATCTGCTTTCTGGAGCTGGATCAACTGTCCCAAGCTCTTCACTATCAGCGCTGTCCATTGTGGTACCTTGTGAACCAGCAAAATCCCACTTCACCACACCAACCTTCTCAGGTCTTTAGCCTTGAACTGAATCATGACCAGCTTTCCCAGGTCTCCAGGCTGCAGAATTCCTCATACCCATCTCTCTCAAACTATCTTTTATTGGCCCCATGTTTCTGGAGAGCACTGACTCATACAAATCCTCTTAAACGCTAAGGAGAAATAAGGGTGGAGTTTCCAGCCAGGTGGTGGTGGTGCCTTTAATCCCAGCATTTGGGAGGCAGAACCAGGTGGATCGAGTTCGAGTCCAGCCTGGTCTACAGAGCAAGATCCAGGACAGGCAAAAGACAACACAGAGAAGCAGTCTAGAAGGGGGGCGAAAAAAAAAAGAATGGAGTTTCCCAATTTTTACACCATGGCAAACATGACAGTTGGTCCTCCCAAGTCCATGAGTACTCACATCCACACACTCAAGAGTTGTGTCACACACCTGCAATTCCAGGACTTCTGAGTGGCTGAAGCCAGAATAGAGATAAAGCCACGCCGGACTACATGTCAAGTAATAATCTGTCCAGAGCCACATAGTGAAGTGCAGACTCATTCTTCATGCCCATCTGAAGCTGCACCTGTGCTGACCACGTACATTTTGTCTCACCTAAAACAGCATAAGTACTTAAAGACCATTGCACTGGGTACTGCCAGCCATCTGAAGATCAATCATGGGTATTGTACAGTTTATACACAAAGACATTTTATGAGGAGCTTGGGCATCTGGAGACTTTGGGATCCTTGGAGTAGAGTTCTTAGAAGCAACTTCCCCTGAGTATCAAGGAAAGAATTGTGCAAAATACAGGGAAATGCTATCCTTCAAATACCCAAGGAAGGCAGCTCTGAAAACAAAGCCATTTAAAAGCAGTAAGAACAGGAAACAGCTTGACTGAGGCAGGAGGCACAAGTCTGGATGACAGTTTTTTAGTCTGTTCCTGGAGGATGAGTTAGGATGGCAAAGACCATACTATACTCTGGTTTCTTTGGTCTCCGTCCCTCTGTGCAGTGAGAACATAATCTGAGTCCACAACTATGCAAACGAACCATGCTGATAGGGAAGGCTCTCTGCAACAGACTCGTGAGCCTCCTTGCAGGTCCACAACTGCCAGTGCTTTTCCCTTACAAGTCTAAGCCGCTGTCTGCCGTCTGCCTCATCATTGCCCTTACCATTTGCTCTGCAAACTAGTCATGGGAAAGACCCTGAAGTATGGATCAGTAAGACTGCACTCCTCTTTCCTCTCATCCTGTACCAAGATCCCAGGCCTCTGACTCCCAGATGCACCTACAAACTGCATTCATTATGCCAGTGTGCTCTGGACTAATTCTCATTATCCTACTCCAAGAACAAGAGCTATGTAGCAATTCAAATCAGCCTGAGGCCAGAAGGCTAGCCACAATGGGCACAAGCTGATCCCAGTGGAGAGGCCAAGGATTTAGAAGGAGCTTGTGATGTCCACATGAGAACCAAACTAAGTGAAGACCTGAAGTCATGCATCCCAGCATGGCAAGGTGGAAACCACCACAATTTAACAAATGAGCTCAGCCAGAGAACATGGGATGCTGAACATTTTCTGTAGCAAGCCAGGAGCTATTTTTAGGCTTTGTAAGCTTTCAGTTTGTTCCAACCCACAGCAAACCTCACCAGCACAAACTAAATGTGTACAGGTGAGCATAAGCAAAACTACAGCAACAATGAAATGGGAACATTTTCAGCCCCATAGAACTATATTTTTAAATTGATTAAAAGGTTACACAGAGAAACCCTGTCTCAAAAAACAAAATGTGAAGACCATTTGTAGTCTCTGATTTAGAACACACCAAAAGGATGAAGCCAGAAAGTGCTCACCCTTTTCTTCAGAAAGCAATCACTGCTTACCCTCTGGTCTCTCTGTTCCAGTACCACCCTGTGTACTGGAACAGAGAGGAAATGGTTATTCTATGCCATCTGTTAGTTTAGTGCCTTCATGAACCTTCAGTTATAGCCTGTTAGGTATCCCAATGTTGGCTGAGAACTAGGACCCTGCCACTAGCCTCCTAAATACAATTCCTGATGAGAACATACCGGTGATGGAAGCAATGACACTTCTCATCAATGCTTATATATAAGGATCTTAAAAAATGAGAAATGCCATGTCAGATGTGTTGAAAATACTTTATAATCAATTCCCTAGAATCCTAGCTATCTAGTATAGGGAACACGTAGTACAGGGTGGAACATTTCAGTACTTTTAAACAATGAAACAAAATATTTGACTAGAAGATTGTAAAATAACTTTACAAATATAAATTGAGGATTCCTCATATTTTCTACTGAGCAGCTAAACAATACAATATACTAAAGATGCTAAGTATATCTCAAACGCAAGATTCAAAAGTCCAACAGTCATTGCAATTAAGAGATTTACACAAAACTACCCATAATTTAACAGCAACAGCAACAGTAACAGGCTCAAAAGCCCACTTCGCTCATGTATGGTATTTTGGCTGAGGAAGAAATGGTCACACTGGCCCAAGCTGTCCTCTGGAAATCATTACTCCTACTACTTGCAGTTCTGTGTCCAAAGACAGAAGTTCCACACCAGCAAATTTTGCTGTCACTTTCCAGAGAGAAGCAGCAGCTGCTATATTTGTGAGCTCCAGGTATCTAGTCTTATGCTAACATCCTGAGCAGTAAAGGAACAGGTAGAATGTCATTGAAACAAATGGAAGCACTCCCCCACCCACTGGAAATGCATCACTCTTCTTCCCCAACCCACTCTGTTCTGCCTTGACACAAGAATGCATTTACCAACTCTGTTTCATTCTGAGACATCATGAATGGTCCACTGGAAAACACACGGGCAGTACACCATCCAACAGTCTATCACATTTATGGAATAAATACATGAAAATTAAACATGGTATATGGTGAAGGCAAATCATGGTTTCATTTATTTTCACGAAACAGGTTGTGAGCGCATGACGAGCAAGCTTAAGAGTCATCACCAAATGGTATTGAGCACAGTGCAGGAGACTGGGCAAGGGGTCTGCAAAGCCATCTTCTCACATGGAATGAGATGGTGGGAGGCTTTACTTCTTTCAATACTTTGTTTATATTCAGGAAAAGAAGATTTGACAAATTCAACAAGATGGCACCTGACCCCTCTTACCATCAAACAGCAATACTAATGAGGGAGTTTCCAAAGAAAAACTGAGATGAGCAAATTCCAAATAAAAGTCAACACTGTGATTGAGATTTTTCTTTTAATATGCCACGAGATATCTTGATTGTATATTTTCCAAAGTACTTTCCAGCCACATCTCCCGACCATACAAAAGTTTTCTCCCATCTTTATTTAAATGCAGTAAAAGATGCTGGATTATAACCCACCCACCTCCTCTTTGAAAGCAATGTAATACTAATGGATTTAATGGTAATACATTCTTATCTAATGAAGACATCCACAAGTATCAGAAACCCAATTTTGAAAGATTTGCATTAATTTTGAACTGAATCAGCATTTTGTGGCTTTTTTTAAAGGCAGCAGTTTGACTCATGACCTGCTGACAAACGCATTTCTACTGAGGAAAGGGAAGGGTAAGGAGACTGAATGCTGCATTTCTTCATTGGCCCCAAAAGTGCTAATTTCACAAAGGGATACATCAAAAGCAAACATGCAATGGTTGTTTTAAACTTTTTACTGCAATACAACAATGAAGTAAACAGTAATTAGACACCTACCAATTTCCCCCAACAAACAAAGAATGTAAACAGGAAAATAACTCTGCCTATATGTGTACAGCTTTTCAAATCATGTTAGAGGGTCTCACATT